ATATTCAGTCCTGCTTTTGACTCCTCTGTCTATCCATTCATCTCTGCCAGTAACTCAAACTGTGCTCTATATGCTTCCCACGGTGCCTTCCCATCGAATTCCTGTGGCTTCCTTCGCACTGGATCACTTCTAGTACTGACATTCATACCTGGGATGTGACTTCTAACGGGACTGAATATGTCTGCATTAGGGTTTAGCTGCAGGGTCTGGATAGGGCTTGTCATTGTCTGGGGCTGATTAAGTCGATGGTCAATGTATCCTCCTTGTGTGAAAGACAATAGATCGTCCTTTAACGTATATAATTCGCTTTTAAATTTACTAATGTTTTCCATTTGTACCTTTTGCCATTGTTGTTGATTTTTCTGTAGTTGCTGCTGACTTTCTTCCTGTTTCCTTTCTTGTTCTAGTTGCCACTGTTGTAGTCTCTCTTCTTGTTTATTTTCTTTCTCCTCCAACAACTGCTGTAATTTCTCTTCTTGTTTCTTTTCTCGTTCTTCTTGTTTCTTTTCTTTTTCCTCCAACAACTGCTGTAATCTCTTCTTGTTTATTTTGTTGTTCGAGCTGCCGCTGTTGCAGGTTTTCTTGCAACTTCTGTTGTCTCTCTTCCTGTTTCTTTTCTTTTTCCTCCAACAACTGCTGTAATCTCTCTACTTGTTTAATTTCTCGTTCTTCTTGTTTCTTGTCTTTTTCCTCTAACAACTGTTGTAATTTTTCTTCTCGTTCTTTTTGTTTCTTTTGCTGTTCTTGTATTGCAGCCATCAAGTCTCCTAACTTCAACAATATGTCTCTCTCTGACTGCAGTTCAATTACTCATTACCTACACATAATTGCGTCACGTTGTCACCCTCTTTTATATACCAGACTACCCTATCTAGTAAATGCTAGGGCATTCACGAAGGAACAAGATACTTCTAGAAAATAGGTGGCATCAAAATAGTCACGTGATCTCGCTGACGCAACAGTATATATTGTTCTAAACACAAAAGAGCTCAAAACATTAAAATAAGAAAATACCGCAAATAAAAAAAAAGTTTACTGTTACTTAGTTTGGTTCAAAGCCTACAAAATTTTCATTGATTTCACTCTCGCTTGGAAAGGAATCATTGGATCCAATATTATGGTCAAAGAGAATGTCATCCTCGGTCCCATCCATCCATTGCGTTACTGATAATACCACATTTCTTAAGTGACTTAATCACTATATCACTTCTTACCTTTTCCCATGAATTATTCACCCACATGCAGACCTGAACAAGCGTCGGTCTCTTCCTTCGTCCTGTAGGGGTCGTAGCAAAATCTTCCTGCTGCATCAAGTTGTTCCATTCCTCTCTCATTAAAGTCTTAAAGGGTTTGTTAATAGAAACATCGAGAGGTTGCAGTTGACTTGTTAAACCGCCGGGTATAACAGTCAGCTGTGTTTAGCTCATTAGCTTTTTCCTTTATTTTTTCCGTTTTATGAGCTCTAAAGGAATCCCAGACAAGGAGAGAAGGCTTTTTAAATAAGCATCCTGGACGTTTGGACCAATTTTTTTCAAACCAAAGTAGTGTTCCGTCTTCATCCATCCATCCTTTTTCATATACGCTGGTTAAATTTTCTTTGGTCACTGTTTTTCTTTTAAAAATTAACATTGGTGGTAATTTTGTTCCATCTGCACAGCATGCTAGCACCACTGTATAATGCGTTTTTTCGTGTTCAGCAGTCTTAACAGTAATACTTTTAGTACCTTTTATATCAGTTGTTCTATTGCTTGGAACATCAAATGTTACAATTTATTTGAGATCTTGCCATTGTTTTTTTTCCCCTCGGAAATTGCGTTTATCACTTTTAATCATTTTCAATTCTTCTTCTTGTTCGCGCTAGCAGCGAATCATTTTTTCTGTTGGTGGAAGACCAAAATATCTTTCGGCAGCTCAGTTTCCATGCTCTATTGCATAATTAATCACATTTAATTTAAATTTAGCTGTGTGTGACAGTTTTCTTTAGAGATCGTATGGGGTGAAAAAATAGAACGAAAAGTTAAGAAACAACTATTTTCCTCCCGAGGCCTAAGATACGGTACTTCGGCTTTCGGTGACGCATCCAACTTGACAGTAAGCACGTGCTAGACTGCCGGGTATCAAATGAAAATTGAAATACCGATTAGGCGATTACCGACGCTAATTGCATTAAGCGCTCTGATTGGTCAAGCGCATTGCACATTTGAATCCAAAACAAGCACTCAAAAAAAGATTTTTTTATTTGTTAAAGTTAGGCCTAAAATGGCCTCATTCTGTTCCACATTAAACAGGGATCGGCGTGTATTTACAAGCTTATTCACTCTCATACATTACTATAATTTATTTTTATTATTTTTTATTATTAATTATGTTTACACATTGATTGTGTATATCGTGCGTGCGAGTGTATATATACACACACACACGCATTCATACATACATACATATACACACATATATTATTCATACCTTTGATGTATAGGACGCAAGCAGATTTTGACATGAAATTTTGGGAAAAAAGTGCGTTTTTACACCACGAAAAATACGGTATTTTCTTTGTACAAGGCCACACAATTGATAAACACATTCTAACATGATTGGATCACTTCTTAGCAAGCCATCTGCAGAACCATCAGTTGCGACATTAGTCTTATTGAGTATGGATATACGTTTCCTTAAGATTTAAAAATGAAAGTTAAATAAACTAAGTGTTCACTTACACACAGAATACCATAATGCAATAATTAAAAAAAAAAAAAATGTATTAGTAAAACAATTAACAAAGAATAAACAATACTCACAGTAAACTTTCTGCACCATACACTTAACCATTTTATTTCGTTAATAGTTTTTCCTTCAGGTAGTGTAATTGCAATGCCCTTGTTGTCATAGGATCCCAGCACATTTGTTCTGCCAAAAGAATTAAAAGATCTAATTTAAAATCAATATAAATCAAAGACTGCTACAGAAAGGTTTGGCATTATTTACGTTGTTTTCTATTGCAGTAAAACAGCCATTTCATAGACATCTATAAAAAAACAACAGAAAGAATCATGCAAACATATGCAATTTGAATAATAATAAATAAAAAAAAAACATTGACATTAAATTCAAAACTAAAATTTAAATAATGGTGCTATTTAACATTATTCACAAACCAAAGAGTTTAAAATAAACAAACGAAATACAATTTTGAAAAAAAAAAAAAAATCACAGTACATACGTGCCAAGTTCATCAGGTACAATAGTCCCATCAGGAGAGGGATCTGGTGATGTGCCCACCCAAAAGAAAGCATCTGCATTGTAAAATAAATGTTATTTTCAGAAAGTTAGCACAAGACTTAAAAGTTATCTACATTTCTTGTAATGAAAAAGTTCAAAATAGTAAAAGCATCATATACACTCAACAACTGTAGAGAATATGGAGGCCATGGTTAAAGCTGAACTTTGTTGGATTCATTTAGGTTACAGTGATTGAATTTTGTTTTTGTAACAACAAACACCCAAATGACAGATGTCAATATCTAAGGATAATAATGCAAGTTAACCATTTATGTTTGACCTTACCTTTTAAATAAACTAATGATTTAAACAACAACAAGAAAAAAGTTGTAGGCTGTTCAAATCACTTGTTGTAAATACCTGTCCATTTGTTAATAATACATACTTTCAATTCTGATAAAGAAAATTACCTGGACCTTGTCCATCATAGCTAAAGTTCTCTATATAAAAGGTGTTTGGGCTAGCAGCATAGACTTTTCCCATAACTCCATGTGCATTACTCTTGAAATCTCCAATGTACTTTCCAAAGTATTTTCCTTTCATATTATTCATTTTGAAATCAATACCTATGCAAAAATAAATAAAAACTTATAACAGTAGAATTAGATGTCAAAGTTAAGAAATTAAAAGATGTTATTTATAGTTACAAAAAAGCAATGTTTGGCATAATGCACTTAAACTGTAGAAGATTACAGAAATGCAAGAAATGATCAAACTAAATATAGGATTTGACTCATTCTTATCACACAGAAATACCTCTTAGCTTCTATAAAGTTAATTGTTCTTTATAGGAAAAAAAAAAAAAGACAATTCTGTAAGTAACTCAACCAATATTTACCTTCTGTAACAGATGCTGCCCTCTTTACTTTAGCAGGTACATTCAAGTTTTTGGGGATAATAACATGACCAAAGTTCTCTTGAAACTCAATACAGTAAAGAGAAAACCAGTCAATATCATAAAACGTTAGGTCACCGGGTAACATTAGAGTAATATCTTCCCCTTTGTAGCCATGCAAAACACCAGTGCTGTAGAGAATTAAGTTAGCATTTAATATTCAGAGAAACAGTATCTCCAGCAATTTAAGTTATTTACCACTTTTATAGTTAACTAATTTCCGTTTGATGTTATGTATATTACTTACACATTTAAATGGTTTCTAAGACAATACAAACTACTAGTTCATGTTAACTAATCTTTGATTCTTGCAACGCTTATTGATCTTTAATAATTAATTCACTTCCTTTTTGTTAACAAAAAATAATTAAGTTCATTTTGTACCCCCCTCCCCCATCATTTAAAGAATTAAAACTAGTTCAATATCTAATATCTAATAATGGAAAACGTCTTATGCTACATATTAACATACCTTCCTCGTTCATCAGGAACTTTAGTCACACCATCACTATGAGGTTTATCTCCTTTTCCCACCAAGAAAAAAGCATCTGAAATAAAAAAACGAGAAGGCTAATTAACTAATAATCAATTAAAAAACAAATAATGTTGAAGGGGAGATAATGCAAGATCTCAGAAGTTGGTGAAGAATGATAACATGCATATAATTTTTCCTGTGGTAATTTCTTCAACCTTGATCACACTAGGATGATACTCTTCATAAAAGTTGATACACTAGTAATGCACTTTAACAATTTAAAGTACCACACTTCAAGACAAAAAGAATATTGTAATAAGAGCTTATTAATACATACATATTCACATACACTGCAAAAAGGGGGCTTGTGCAAAATTTTAAAACCAAAGTAAAAAAAACAATATCTAACAATAGTGAACACGTGTAACTTGAATATACCTGGACCTGCACCATCATACATTAGATTGGGTATGTAAATTGTTTTAGCATCTTTTATGACGACAGGATCTGATTTCACTCCATGAGCAAAATTTGGGATTCCTCCAAGGACTAGAGATTCTGGAAGTTCCAAATCAGCTGGTATTTTAAGTGAACCAAAGTTTACCTAATGGTTAAGAAAGACAAAAAAACATTCAAGAATTGAAGAATAAACAACTTGGTTTCAGTAGTATTCAAAGTGTAATAATTATGTCTAGTAGTTGTGAATCATTTAGTAGAAACATTGAACTATATATTCAATCCCTTAACACATAATGAAACTTAAGCCTAACTGTTCCATCAAAATATAATCAACATTTAATAACATTTCTGTGCTATTAAAAATAAATCGCCACCACCACATTAAGAACTGATTGATTGGTTTGAATTTCGCGCAAAGCTACACGAGGATTATCTGCGCTAGTCGTCCTTAATTTAATAGTGAAAGACTAGAGAGAAAGCAGCTAGTCATCACCACCCACCGCCAACTCTTGGGCTACTATTTTATCAACGAATAGGTGGGAGGAGTTAGGATAAAACAAAATAAAACAGGAGTTGGGATAAAAGGCTGAAAGGGCGAGCATGTTTGGTGGGGCGGGGGTTCGAAACCGCTACCCTCAGATCGCGAGTGAAGCGCCCTAACCACCGAGTCCACATTAAAAACAAGTGAATGAAAATACCTCAGTGAACTAAGTAAGTGGCTATCTGTTACTATGTTCTTGTATCAAGTAGTTACCAAGATTCAGTCCAAGGTATTAAAAAAAAAGTGTATAAAAAGCCAACTTCAGTGTTAAAAGGTTGTCTGCATAACTAAATACCAATTTATACAAATTATGTTTATAATAAATTACACAAGAATGATTTAACTATTGTTTAAACTATAGATGTAACAGTAAAATGCACTTACTGTAAACTGTCTGCACCACACACTCAACCATTTAACGTCTTTAATTGTTTTTCCATCTGGCAACTTAATTGAAATGTCTTGGTTATTATATCTTCCTAGGATATTTTTCCTGTTGGAAGAAACAAACCAAGTGAAAATATGACAGTAATTATGAATGGTCAACACTTGTGTAATGTTTAAAATCGTGTAACTAAAATACTCAAACGATCAACGTGGTATAATACACAATATTATTTAAAACAACCGATCAACAGTCGTAAAAGACATTTCGAAGTCATTCTCGAAATACGTAATTCTTTTACGATCGTTGATCGGTTTTCAAGTAAAATTAATTGTGTATTATACAATGTTTATCATTTGAGTGTTTTAAATATGTACACAAGTTCCTTGGATTTTAACATAATTAAAATAAGTTTCATATTTACACAAATATTTTTTTTGTTAAACTATTAACGGCTCCTACTTAAAACACTACGAATTTTGATGTCTAAAGGAATTATTTACAAGACGATTTTTCTGTACGTCATGATGTAGTAAGTGTGTTATTTACATAACACACACTTATATAGATATATAAGTCCTATATAGGACTTATCTAGATGTAATACTTTATTTCTAACACTCTCGTATATTTACAGCTGTAATATTACTAAGAGTATGAGGCTGGGTAGTTTGGTCCCATACAGTTGAGTGTTGTGTTTGTAATTTTTCTACTACAGCTGCAGTTTCTTTTTCCCACGTGTCTTATATTCCTATAACGCGTTTTAAGTTCCTTTTAGTTTGACCAATATAAATTCCAATACATTCACATTATGTTCTATAAACCCCAGTTTTAACCATTTTATCTTTGATAATTCCTAACATTTCTTTAAGTTTAATTTATTTTTAAGAAGCATCCCATCTTTAAACCTTTCAAACAAGACTAAAGGCAAACAAAAAAAAAACCTCGTTACCCGTTTGAATATCTAAATGTAGCAGTAAAAAAAAAACAACAACAACAACAACAAAATGCATTACACTGAAATAAAATAAGCAAGGTTTAAAATCATTAACTCACGTTTCATTCTCATCTGGGACAATGAAACCTTCGGGGGAAGGCTCGGGTGTAGTTCCAGCCCAAAAAAATGCATCTAGGATAAAAAATAAAACAAATACACTTCCTATATGCTTATTAAAAACGTTTTGGAAGATGGGAGGTTGAATAAAGCTACTCTTGTATAGACGAGAGTAGCGATGCACAAAACTAAAAAAAAACGTTAATATTCTTACGCACATGGAAATGCCAGTTGAAACATTTATTATGAGCGATTTTTCCAGTAAACAATATATCTAAACAGTATTTAAAGAAACATGTCGGATTTTCACTTTTCTTGGCACTGATCACGTTCTCATAACGAGAAGCACTAAAATGTTTCATTTTGTAACCAATACTCTTTCCTACGTCGGTGTATTTTCTTCCTTCAATTTTGCGATTACAGCCTCTCTGCACCTTTAATACCCTTCTGCAGTTTTTCAAACTTGCTGTTGTAATCTTTGAACAACTCCAATAGCTTCGTCGATCTTGTTTTCAGAGTTATATTTGATTTTGGATCTTTTCTTTCATGCATTTCGTTAAATATATATTTTTTTAATGTAGTTTTTAATGCTGATTTAGAAATAAATTGAAATTTGCAGAAATGAAAAGAAATATTTTATTTTGTTAGGTTAGGTCAGTTTATGCGAGGTTAGATGAAGTTATACTAATCAGTAAATAATTACACGTTTATTTAAATAAAAAAAATCAATTTAATTAAAAAAAAGAATTTAAAAATGAAGATATTTTCCCATTCTTCCCGTTTAAAAGTACTGGGAATGTAGTTAAGAGACGTAAGAAGCGACATTGCGGAACCAATCGTAACAGAACTGACTCATCTCTGCGAGTTCGTTTGGTGTCGTAGGCATGAAAATGATTTCTTCAAGCAAATATTTAAGAATATTTCTGAATTTTCACATTGAAATAATTTGTATTGTCTTGATGTCTTGCAATTATCTTAAATACATAGGTATATATAATGCTAAAAGTACTTCCTTTGTCTCGCAAGCAAAAAATGTTAATTTCTTTTTCTGAAATCAGCATTAAAAGCTACATTAAAAATTATACATTTTTCTCTTTGAACGCGGTACATGAAACATAAGATTTGATTTTAATAGTACATCCACTTTGTTTTAATCCTTTTAAATTACCGTCACGTTCTTCATAGACTTAGCTTTCTATTTTTTTAAAAACGTTCTGTCTCATTATTCCTGCTCTTCTTTTGGACCTTAATTTCCTTCTTATGTCTTCTTGTTTTTATTTGAATGTTCTGTCTCTTTCAGTTAGTTCTTCCTTTCACTTTTTATTATGTCCAGCAGGTTCCCTTATCTCAGTAGGTCTTTCCTCTTGATCTTTTTTAATTAAAGTTTTAAGTTCATCAAAGCTCTATTTTAGTTCCCCACAATCCAACTTGTGACACCAGCTACGTAACGTTCGTTTGTTGACGGGTTTTTAAAATTATTTGGTGATGTTAATTCAAAGTACAGTCCACGTAAACGATAAAAAATTTTATTTTTTCACTATCGTTTCGTTAAGCTTGTCTTTACTTGCACACTGTTGTAACTTGTTGTAGGCCTAAATTCACAAATGATACCAACTGCATTACACTAATGTGGAAATAAATTTATTTTATGACTGAAACGAAAAACACTGACTGATTCACTATTATTTCTTAAAGACCTTTTCAACTATCATCTCGATGCTTCGCTAATCCCGTATTTACAATTATACTTTAAAGTATTAGAAAAACCTAACGTAAATCTTTAGAGCTTTTTAGGTTTAACTTAGCGTCATCATTACGACCTTCAGCTCCTTCTAATTAACATTAAACCATCTTAATAAAAAATACAGCATACAAAAGTATTAAAAATGAACATTTCCGCAACATCACGTATCTGCTAGGATAAGACAGTAAAATTCCTCCTTGAACCAAATGCCCGTTTTATTTTTCATAATAGTTTTGTGAAGGTTATTAAAGCCTAGAGAGAGAAAAAAAAAGGTGGGGAAAATAACAAGTTCAAACAATAACAGAATCGAAATGGTATATTTAAGTCTTTACACTCACAAAAAATAAACCTATTATTCTATAGGTATTTGAAGAACTTGTAGCATTCCGTCACAATTTAGTTCGTCGTATTGTTAGCTGACACTGGGCAGCTGGTACATAAACAACTATTCAATTAATAACACAGAATATTAAAATTGTTTAGCACTGTATAACCCTACTACAAGAAAAAATTCAACACCAACCTGGTCCTTCTCC